GCAGGTAAATACCTAGAAATATGGAAATTAGCCCTATATAAATTCAATTTACAAGAAAGGTTAGCTAAAGAAGATTGTAATAATTATAGAGGGATAAGTGTGACTTCATCTTTGGTTTAGACTGTATGGACGACTGCCTAATGAATAGAATTGAAAAAGCAAACATCAGACTCAGAAGGCAAAGTGGTTTTTGACCAGGAAGAGAACTTCACATTAATTTTCAATGACCTAAAAAGGCTTATGATTAATGTACCCAGTAAAAGAAGTAACTGGCGCAATGGAAGAAAAAGGATATCAACAACATACATAAATAGTCAAAACAACTTTATAAGATAAACAAAAGTCAAGTAAAAATGAAAATGTCTATCAGACAACTTCCCAGTAAATAAAGGATTACGGCAAGGGCTGCTGTATATCTCCACCCTGTTTAAGATGGACATTGATAAAGGCCCTAAAAAATGGAAAAGAAAGTGCAGAAGCATGGGTGTGAAAATTGGTGGTGAAAACATTGTTAGTCGCCACTATTTGCAGGTGACCAGGTGATAATGGTAAGATGAAGACGGATGTATCTTATATTGTCAGAAAAATTAGTAGAAGACTATGGAAAATGGGTGGATGGAAATAAATTATACAAAAAAACTGAATATATGGTTGGTGGGAAGGTGTGCCCCATGTGATTTAGAGACTAGTATGGAATTAATTAAAGGATAAAACACAATATAAGTATTTGGGAGTCACTCTAACAGCTGATGGTAGAGACGTTGTGTAGATAGATGTAAAAAATAAAAATATAAGAGGAAAAAAAATAGCCACAAGACAGTTGAACCCCAGTGCTATGGAACTCAATTATTTCAATGAGAAAACAAAGAAACGTAATATAGCTCCTTCATAGACAGTACCACACACTATGGAGCAGAAGTCTGGACACTATCAAAAAAATGAAAGACAAATTTCAATCAACAGAATGACGTTCTGGCGAAGATGTTGTAAACTTCTCTGTTAGTAAAATAAGAATATGAAATGAAGTGCAAAAAACCTTGAACGAGACGATCGAAATGAGACAACTAAAATGGTATGGACGTATGAGAAGGTTGAAATCGATAGACTTCCTCAAAAGTTTGGTGGTGGAATAACAAATCGAAGAAGATACAGGGAAGACCGAGAAGAACATGGAACATGGCAATAACTGAAGCCATGGAAAAAAGAGAAATGAAGAAACGATGTTTGTGGTT